GGCAGGTGTTTCCCCTTCCCACCCACCCTGTAGAGAGAGGGAGGAGGGAGCCAAAGAAGAGGGTGTCCCAGGGGAGAGGTGCTGGTGGGGAGCCTGCAAAGCTGCTCTTTTTTCTTGATGCCTTTTCCAGCTTGGGTTGCTGGTTAGCATCAGGCAGCATGGACTTGCCCTCGCTGTGAAGCTCCTACTCCAGTTAACTCCCAGTACTCGGTGGCCTGTCACAGCTAGTTCTGCAGTGTGCAGCGTTAGCAAAGGCTTTGCAGAACTAGTGGACCTTAAGGCTGTGAAATGTACCTGAGTCCCAGCCAAAATCTTTTGCCAACCAGTGAAGTGCTCGTCACCCTCTTCAGCCCTGCCAGGACTAAGACCTCTGAAGCTGACATGCAGCCTAATCGACCAGGAGTGCCTTCTCCTAAGGAAAGAGCTGCCTGTCAGGGTGTAGGGAGCAAAGCTGTTTCCCTGAAGTGTCCTTCTAGCCACTGAGAGTTGTGGGGCGCAAGTTGGATCTGCTGCCAGGCATTGCACTAGTGTCTTCTGAGTGCACAGGAGTGTGGGTATTTTGTCAAGTGTTTGCTAGCTGCCTGCCCTACTGGATAAGTCAGGAAATGGGGAATCCTGTTTATGAAGGCCAAATGGCTCGCAGGCCTGGCATCAAAACTTTCCAGCCAAGCACTGAGAGCTATTCACTCAGTCCCTGGCCTGATATGCCATCCATGTGTCTGCACTGGGCTTCATCTTTCTAGCTGTTTCAGACCATGGTGCCCAGTGGAAAGCTTCTGCAAGATGCCACGGACACATCTGCCAACCACATGAAGAGCTGTGGCTTAGTTTATACCCAGGAGGAGTGATACTAGAATAACAACAAGCTCTTCAAACCTGAGGAGCAGGGTAAGTATGGATGTGCAAACACAAGGGTAGCACCAGGTCCTGATGGCATTGCTAAGCCACCTCATAATTCTCTGCCATCTGGACTCCGGCTGCCTTCCTTCTTACTCTCCGATACTTCATCATGAGATACCTTTCCAGAGCTTTACCTGCAGCCCAGATCAACGGATGCAGGAAGCCCTGAGCCTCCACCTTTGTCCCACACCGCCAAGACCAGCGATAGCCTGGGAACTCCACACGCAAGGCTGCTGAGACCAGACCCTGGCAAGAGCAGGGACCGCGGGAGTGGGCGGAGTCAGCCCCACCCAGCACTTCAGAGCACCAGACCCAGAGCGGGCTCAACCACAGGACACTATCCGCAGACTGCGTCACCCGGGTCACGGGAGCTGCCCAGGCAGAAGAGCTGGGGGAGAGGCCCTGATGTCTTGGCTTTGCCACTGTTCATGCACTTACTGGCCACTAGGCCGTCAGATACTCTTTTTCGGAGAACAGAACACCCTATGTTGCCGGCACATAGGGTGTCCTACTGAGAATAATGAAAGAACAAGAAATAATTTGGCTCATTCGAGCCAAAATACCCACTTCTACCTAATTCAGCTGAAAAGAGCCCACAGCTAACATATCACCCCCACAGCTGCCCACTGTCCTCCAAGGATAATTATACACTGGGCTATTTGCTGCTCCTACACTAAGTATTCTGGAGAGCGCCACAGCCATGTACAGTGTGGCTAGAGCACCTGGCTCCAGTTCCAGGGCACTCTGCCATAGAAGAGGTTTAACTCCCAACATAGCTGTCACCCAGTTGTGACAGCAGAGGGGCCGATCATTGTCTCCTTCCTTCAGTGACTGAGCACTGGCACTGGTTCATTCAGGGTCAGAGCATCTTGGTAAGGTCTGGAGAGGTCCAAGGCCACAAGGACATTCATTCTCTTGGGAAGAATGGGCTTGTCAACAGGGGACATTATCTTCCATGGTTCAGTCCTTAGAGATGTCCCCTCTATCCTACCTGGCTGACACAGGCACCCACAGTCAGGTTGTTGCTTGTGGTGGGGAGGGAGTCTGGTGTTTGCTTGCAGGGAGAGAAAAGGATGAGAGAGCATCTGTGCACAACTTGTATGTAGACAAGGCCACCACTACCTGGACCATGCCCTGAGGGCACGTAGGCTGTCCTGTGAGCCACGAGGCAGGCCACGGGAGGGAAGCGGTGGCAGAAGACTAAGAAGTGTAGGGCCTGCCGCAGGAGCTCAGCCACCAGACCTAGGCTGCTGGCGTGGCACTTCCTGGCACTTCAGTGGTTACTGAGTGAAGACAAGTGCCAGTAGGTGGCAGCCCTGTCTTTCCCGGAGAGCTATATTGGGGCAAGGAAGGCCAGATCCTGCACCTAGCAGGAATCCCAGAGACTAATGCCTGGTGTCAGCCTGGACCAGGACAGTGCCAGATCCTGCACCTAGCAGGAATCTAGAGACTAATGCCTGGTGTCAGCCTGGACCAGGACAGTGGTGTAGAGGTCATAAGAAATCTAGGAGATCATGGCCAGGCAAAGCAAGTGACATGAGGAGGGTGGAGAGACCAATAGACAAGGCTGTACTAGTGAGACATGATGGTGGGCATTTGCAACAGACTAAACAGTTGATCCAAAAGATGGAAAGGACACCTGGGTCCTCACATCTGGACAGGCTCCTTCTCACTAACACTCTCCAGACTCACTCAGCTCTGCCCTGGACACTTATCTATCTGCCTCACACCAATACACCAAACCTTCATCTGAAATCTTCCTTCTCTCATGCAGTGGGGGCTGCAAGGGTCCCGTCCTGCTCCCAAGTTACCTCACAGACAGGGTGCATCAGATGGCACTAGCATAGAGAACAACTGGCAAACAGCAGGGCTGGGGCTTGAGTGAGCCCATCCAGGCCAGCCACTGGAATTGCACACACATCCAGGGATCCACACGCATCTACAGGAAATTCCCGAAACCACCTAGAACTCCCCAACCATCAAGGAGAATTTATCTCTGAACTGAGGCCTGTGAATTTTGAGTCATTACTCACTGTTTCATAGCGTTCACACACAAGCCTTGATCTCTCTAAGCTTCATCTTTAGGATACCACTGTGGCCCAAGCTTGCCTCTTCTGAGGCATTAGGGACATGCCAAAGGAGAGAGAGGGTGCTGCATGCTGACATGAGGCTTCAAAGAGAGGGTTGCTGTTCTTTATAGGCATGAGGCTAGAACAGCCGGGCAATGACAAGAGCATGTACCATATCCACATCTAGCTAGGTCCCAAACCTACCCCTCGCTGCTCTAAGAACCACACATCTGTTTCTGGGCTGTTGTTCACCTCTCTCTGGGCTTGATCTGTGTCTTGGGGTCTCTGTTGCCTTCTGATCCTTATCTGGAACTCATCCCTCTCCTCCAACTATCTATGACTAGCTCCATTTTGCTTTCACACACCTGAGACACCAATGGTGACACACATTGGAGAGACAGGAGCTTGGGGCCCATGACAAGACTGCAAATGGGGTGAGGAAATTACTACCAGCTCTGGCCGGCACCGTGGGAGCCGCGTCCCCATCTCCACACAATTAATGCAGAGTAAATGTGGGGTGCTTTGGATGAGTCCCAGCCTAATATGGGCTACTATCCTGTACCTCTCTGTCTGCTGATCAAACCCCCACCACGCAGCTTTCACAGCACCCTAAGACGCATGCCCCATTGCTGGTGCAGGAGAAACTTTGGGCTGACATGGAACAAAGAGGGAATCCAGACTGGCAATTACCCAGCTAATTTCAGCTATGTAGACAGCCAAATCAGATATTTTAGTTTCTTTAAAAGCCCACCTCAGGGCCTGAATTAGCCACCTAATTAATTATCTGTAGCAGCCTGGGACTCTCTGGGTATAACATGGGTCCCTTCTGATGCAAGATGCTGGCTTGTCCCTGAATCCTGTCCTGGTGATGTAATCATTATAATTAGATTCAACCTGAGTCTACCTCAGTCATGAACTCTCAGCAAGCACACTGGATCTACTTTTCATCACATATAAGTGAACTCACAGACACCCTCTGGGAGATGCCTATTTCTGCAGACTCCCCTCTTTACTGGCCCTGAGGACCCAATCAGCTTCCTCTCTTTGGGTGTTCCCCCTCCCTTCTCCATACCAGCAAAGGACGCCTACCAAATTCCAGCTGAGACCCACCCCAGTCAGGAGGCTCCCCTGAAGGCCACAAGGGCTCTTCAATGGTGGAACTGGTGAACTCTTGGCATCGAGACCACACAAGGGTGTTGGGGCACCAGAGCAGGTAGCTCTGAGCAAACATGAGGTGCAGCTAGGGAAATGTTAAAGTCTACAGGCCTGAGCTGACCAAACTGCCCTGCTGATAATGGGTACCAAATCTTCACCTCATTGTCTCAGCATCTCCTGTCCAAGAACTCAGCCACTGTCCTCTACCAGTTTCTGGTTCTACTGTTGCTGGCTACAAAGATGGCTTTGGGCCAAGTGGGTACAGAACTACCTTCAAACAGTGAGTGAGCAAGCTACTCTCACTTAACAACACAAAAGAGTATATATGTATATATATACACATATTTTTTTTTCTCTGCAGAAGGGAATGTGGTTACACAGCTATCTCTTCTTATCCCTGTTTAACAGTACTGTCTCTTACCTGGGGGAAGCCCATAGGTTTTATTGCCACAGTTGGGATCACCCAAATCTTGTTCCCTAACCAAATCTCGTTTCCTGGTGTACCTTTTGTTCCGAGGATTGACACGGGAGGCTGCTCACAAGCCTTGATCAGTGCTTCTCCACTCTTGACCTGCCTCAGGATGACCAGTAGGTTCTTTTGCACCATGGCATGAGGCGCAGGGCCACCTTACACACCACAGCCTCCCCTCCTCTTGTGTTAAATCTCAAGGCTTGAGTTCCCCTGGGGACACAAAAGTACCGGGCTGGACCACCGCCCTAGGTTCCTTCAGAGGGTGAGCCAGCATCTGCAGAGGCTGTGTGTGAGGTCAGAGGCTCATGCAGCCACTGCAGTGGTGGAGATGTCTCTCTGAGTGCCCCATGTCTGCGCATCCCTAGTGGCTCAAGCCCATGTCCCCCTCCCTGCCCAGCTCCTACCTCCCAGGGCTTGCTTCATCACGAACTCCATGACGATGGCTTGGTTCCTCAGGAGCCACTCCGGGTCAGATCTCACATTCAAGCGTGGTCAGACTCCTCTGCCTAGAAAGAACAGACGGTCACAGGTACCCCGACCAGGCTTTCCTGAGACCCTCATCTGCTCTTTGCTCCCTTCTCCAGTACCCTGAGTCCACTATAAGAGGCTTTGTCCCCAACACCCAGACCAGGATGGCAGGATACAGGGCCCAGCCAAACTAGCTGGTTCTGGGGTTCTTGCTGCTTCTGGGGTTTCTGAAGGAAGCGTTCATCTCCTACTGCAGCTCACAACTTGAAGCCACCAGTTACTGGAGTCTGGCGCCAGCCTTCTCAAGTGGTGGGGGGGAGGGGGAGAGGGAGCAATGTGGAGCCCAGGGGGCATTTGAAGGTCAATGTTCTGCTGTAGTGCCCATGTTCTGGCTGCTCAGCCTCCTTGGTAATTCTGGAGCTGTGGGGCAGGGGTCCCCCTGGAGAAGGATTGAGGAGACAACTCCATGAATGCTGCCCCTCAGGAAAGGTCCTTATGGCCTCTGACTAGTCTCAACTGTCTGTCTCTAGGGAGACTCTGGCGACTCCCAAAATGGGCCCACAGCAGAACTAGCCCTGGATGGGGGAGATGTCAGGCAGGATCCCAGTCTTCCGGTCAGAGTGAAGACAGATGACCTCTCCCTGCCTCTGAATGGGGTAGGGCGACCCAAGCCAGAATGCCTGGGCTGAAGTGCCAGCGGCTTTTGGGAAGGTGCTTTCTGGAATCCTGTCCGGGAACCTAGTCTCTGGAGAGCCAATGTTTACAGGTTTCCCTCTGCGGAATGAGACCCCAAAGAACTAGAGAGGGATGCCAGGCAATGAGAGCGTCCCAGAAGCTAGAGGTTCAGGGATGCCTTTTCTGTAAAGCCAATTGCCTTCTAAACTTCTGTCTCCTGGGGGATGGGGGCTCTGCAGGGCCGGCTGCAGAGAGGTTAGGACGCTGCGGAGATTCCGCAAAGACCAAGGCGTCCAGTTCTTTCGCGGCCGCCGCACCCTTTGCTTTGCAGGCGGGCGAGCCGCCGGCCCGGAGCGCGGCCTCAGGCTAGAGCGCGCCAGGAAAAGAAGGAAAAATCAAAAATTGAAAAAGGACGCCGAATGCAAAGGGAACCAAGGGCCGCTTCAGCACCTCTCGGCGGACAGCACCCTCCAAGCTGAGCAACCTTGGGGGAAAACCTTGGGTCTGAAAAGCAAGGAACCAAGAGCCAGGGAACCCAGGATCTGGGGAGGAGACCCGGGGCTAGAAAACCGGTAGCCGAGAAGGGAAGCCCAGGAGTCGGGAGAAAGAGTGGGGGGGAGCGGAGAGGAGGGAGCCGGTTAAGGCTCCCGGCTGCAAGGGCGCCGGTTACCTTCCAGGGCGGATGATCAGCAGCGCTGCGCTGTCTGGCTGGCGGGGTCCATGTGGCGCTCTGTGCTGCAGCAGCGGCTGAAGGGCACCGCGAGGAGGGCGCGTCACTCAGAGGCGCCCCCGCCCACGTCCCGCATGACGAGGAGGGCGGGGTTCCTAGAGCCTGGCCTGGAGCTCAGACAGCTGCAGAGGGGCCCCTCCGTGGCCTGGGCCACTCTCTCCACGCCGGCTTGGAGACCCTCCAGAAGCCGTCACTCGAGGGCGCAGGGCGACCCCAGGGCTGGGGGCGCCACCCCTAATTTACCCGCCGTGTTTGCTCTTGACCCGGTTGCCTCCGTCTCCGCTTCTTTGCTGACAAGGCGGGAGGAGGCGAGCACAGCCCGAGACCCCGCGCTGGATAGGCCCGCATATCCAAACTTGCGAGTGTGCAGAGCTGGCCCTGGCAGGACAGAACCCCCAGCCGGTCAGGGACGCCTGAAGGTCACTGCGGACACGGCTGGGTGGGGGCTCCCGGGACAGCCGCAGCTCCGCCTCTGGGCCGCCCCTTCCCCAGCGCCAGGGTTTCAGCACCACCGAGGCTGCACTGCAGGAGAACCTGGTGACCGCAAGGTTGGCCTGGAACCCTCCCAGTATCCTGGGGGTTTCTGTAAGGCAGCCGGCTCCGCAGAAGCCAGGGCGTGCTGGGACACCTAAGCTGTTCTGATTCTGGCTAGTCAAGGCTAACGACCCCTGACCGGCAGGGGCCAGTGCTGATGGCCATCTCATTAACTGCTCCTGTTCACCCTGGCTGAGTCATTCCTCAGTATTAGGTATTGACCTTCACCCAATTCTATGAGCCTTCTCCTAAAAAGTATTCCTCCCTCACCAGCATCCCAAAGCTGCTCCACGGTGCTTGGCAGCTTGAACTCGCGGGATGGAGTCCGTCATGGACGGACTTTTTGTTTTTATCAGTTCCTGTTCCTTTGCTCTGGCAGATTCGAAGTAGAAGAGCACAGGAAGGGAGCTGGCGCGAAGAGAGGAAGGGAAAACGCCAAGCCCCACACCTTCTAGATCCTACTTCAGCCCGGGGCCCAGTGATCAGCCGGCCTTGGAGTCAGGGAACTCCGGGAGCCTCTCAGTGTTGTCTGATCCCACTGGTGAAGTGCCTGCACCTGGGCTGACGCCAAGGAGGAAGGGATCATTCAGGAAGTGGGGCAGCATGACCCACACTGACAGAGGAGTTAAATCTCCCAGTGCCCTTCCTCCTGGCACCATCCATCTCAGCGCCATCGCCCTCCTGGCAAGGCTGATTGATGCCCCAAGCCCTGTGCAGGCCCAGAACTGAAGCCTTGGGGGGCAGGATCACCTGCATATACATGTGCCCAGTGTGGCTCCTGTGTCTTCCGAGTCTACGGTAGCTAGCGAAAGCAAGGGCCAGAGCAAGGCAGAACCTTACTTCTCACTGGCGTTTCTTCTGCCCACTACTCCACTAGCTGGACCTGACCCTCTGGCAGCAATCCCATAGAAGACCCCAGGTTGACCTCCTGAGCCAAATCATGCCAGCCTCATCTTCGCTGACCCCACACAGAGCCCTGAGCCCAGCTAACATTATTATAGGCGAGGGACCCTAGGCCCACCAGGCTTCCACCTTTTCTTCATCGGCTTCTCTCTGGCTGTCTCTGTCTTCATGTGTCTGCCTCTGTGTCTCCATCTCTTTGTTTCTCTGTCCTAGGGTTGTTGTTTTGTTTTGTTTTTTAACTGTATGGGTATTTTGTCTGCATGTCTGTGCGCCACATATATACCTGGTATCCACAGGATCCAGAAGAGGGTTTTGGCTCCCCTGGGACTGGAATTACAGATAGTTGTGAGATACCATGCGGGCACTGGGAATCAAACCTGGATCCTCTGAAGTCCAGCCAGTGTTTTTAAACTATTGAGCCTTCTAGTTTAATTTTTTATATGTGTTGTTTGGGTTTTTATTTTTTGGTTGTTGTTGTTTTCAGAGAGGTTCTCATGTGCTGCAGGCTGGCTTTGAACTTGATATCTATCCAACGATGACCTTTATGCTTGACCTTTATACCCCTGTCACCACCTCCCACGACCCAAGAATACGCTTCAACGCCATGCCCAGACCCTGCTGGGGAAAACAGGCGAGGATGGTGACAGTCTCAGGTCTGAGTGACAGAATCCTTGGAGGTGGCAGCTACTTGAGCTTACAAAAGCTTTCAGGGCAGTGCTACCCAGGGGAGAAGGCTTCATAACTGCCTGTCCAGCTGGGTGTGCGCCGTAGTCAAGGCTGGCTGCTACAAGCTACCTAGACCTTCGAACCTATGAGAGAAAGAGGCAACATGGCAAAGGCCTTTGCTGACGTTAAATTTTAAAAAAAAAACTTTTATTTATGTTTCTTATATATTTTTCTCCCTACTTCACCCCAATCCTTTCTAACACCCCAACACCAGGTAGGAGAGAGAAAGGTTAGTGGGAGAAGGAGGACAGTTCTTTCTTAGCTGCTTCCTGCTGGTCAGGGTCATTGGGTTCCTTGGAGCCAGTCCAAAACTTGCTTCAGGAGATCTCTATCTTCTTGTCTCACAACAGCAATAGGAGCAGAAAGGGGGAAGCAGGGGCAGCCTTGTTCTTTCTCTTCTTCCACTCTCTGGACTCTGGCATTTCTTCTCTCTCCAGAGTCCTTAGATCTAAACTATCTGCAGCTGGCAAAGAGCTCCTCTCAGAGCCCACATGAGGCAAATAGTCTGCTGCTGTGGACCATCTGAATCAGTCCCACATCCCACATTTTGTTTTGGGACCAAAACAAAAACACGTTTATATCCACAAGAGGCCTCTGCCCAACTGACCAGCCATCTGGCCACACCCAGGGCAGACAAAGTGGTCTGAGAGCAAGTTGACCATCCTGACCTCAAACTCACCGACTCTCAGATCATGACTCAGCAGAGATCTTTATGCTTCTCCCTCCCAACTATTGGGAATTAAAGGGACGCTCTACCACTCCCGATAGCTTCATTACTAATTTAATATTCTTGTTTGAGACATCTCTATATGAAAGAAATATTGGGGCTGGAGAGATGGTTCAGCAGAGAAGAGAGCTTGTTGCTCTTACAGAGGACCAGGTTCAGCCTACAGACCTCTGGCTGCACAGAGGATCACAGAAACCTAGTGAAAAAGATTAGTTTGTTGAAGATCAGGACATTCCAGGGATCCAGAGGACTTATCTACTGGGACATGCAGGAGGCAGATAGTGATAGGTAAGGGAGAACTGGATAGAAGGCCAGGTGAGGTCACCACGGAGGGGCTAACAGCTAGAGGGAACAGATAGGTCAGCCATAGATACCATATGCATTTTTTCACAGATACATACTGCTAAGGGTCCTGGGACAGAGGAGGGCACCCTGCCCACTTGTCTGCTGTACAGGTCCTGAATGGCTCTGTCACAGGCCTGAGCATTGCAAACATGGCGCTGGCAGGCCTTGCCCTTTTCCTTCCCTCTCCCTTGCCAAACCGTTACATTACATTCCTAAAGCTAGTCCTCAAGGTCTAGCCCCTTATTTGACCACTTCCTTATGCCTGACTAAAACAAGGTCCAGCAATCAAAATTCATATTTTGGCTACACTGGCTAACAGGTCCAATCAGGTCTTACCAACTCACCCTATCCCAGACTTTCCTTTTGTCCCCTTAAAAACCAGTTCTTATGGAGACACATACTGTTTTTGTGCTATCCAGAGAAAGCTCCCCTAATACACCTAGGTGGGGTCTGTGTGTGTTTGGATGGACTCCGGGGGTATACAGAACACCCCCCTCTTTGGTTCCTCTGCAATGTAAGTTGCTCCGGAGGATAGGAAGGAGGGGCTGCTCTGCTCCAGATCCACTCTGGTTTTTCTGGAAACCTCTACAGATCCCCCTCTAGGGATGCTATCCACGTGCCTAGGCAGATCCCGAGAGGCAGGTACCCTCCCTGCTCTGGGCTCAGAAAGGATTCCAGAAGAACTTTTAGGTTCTTGGAGTCATCTTCAGTTCTGGTGTGGGGCCCAGCAGTGGAGGACTGTTGGGGGGAATCTTTGTCACCTGATTGATCCTATCCAAGGCCATTGGTCCATGAACTTCAAACAAAGACTTAATAATTCAGTGCCCTGGATAACAAAGGCCTAGGGCTAGCACCATCTGTGATATTTCCTGTTGGGTCCTATGATTATTCAAAAGCAACGGTGACAAGCTAGGCAGAGAACTGCAGTTGCTCATCTGAGCTGGCAGCAGACAGTGCTATGGGTGGAGGGGACTTTGGGTGAGAGATCTCTGCTGCCTCAGGGATCTCCATGGGCCTCCTGCTGCTGCCAACCAGTGGCTAGTTAACAAAAGCTAGCCTCTGGGTCCTGGATGGCTAGAAGCCATTGTCAGGATCTCAGAAGCAGGGAGGCTGCCCTCACTGGTGATCTCTTGCCAGCAATCCTACCCTGTGTTCTGCTATTTCCAAATAATATACTTCTGAAACTGTCTAAACATTAAGAAGCATGGTGGCTGCCACCAAGGCCTTGACTCAACCTTGGACCAACCCAGAGCCTAGTCAGGGAGGCCTGGAGTTTTCTTCCAGGCTCAGAGGCAGAACCTCGTCATCACACAAAAGGAGCCTCTACCTGGGTGGTGTCCTGAAGCATCTCAGGTCTTTCTGCAGGTGTGTGGTCTCAGTACCCTGGCACTCAACACCAGTGGTTACTTCTTCCAATCTTCTGAGAAGCTTTAAGGTGTATATCAAAGGCCTCCAAGGACCTGGTTCTAGAGGCCCCTCTAAGAAGCTTGACCTTCCCTTCCCCACCCTGAACTACCTTGTCAGCTCAGCCTGTGAGTACAGGGACAGAGAACACACACAGAAGAGCCACTTCTGTACCTAGACAATTCAGGCTGAGAGATATAGCTGAGGGTTACCTGAGGATGTCAGTGTGGGGAACTAAAGCTGGATAGATCCAGTTAGGCCCTACCTTTCTGCTACCACGGAGGCCTGGAACCTCCACAGCATGACCTTAGCATGGAACCTTAGCTTGACCTTACCGCACCCTAGTCCCCTTCTGTTTTTCAAGACCCAGCTCAGGAAGAGCCTGAGCTGAAACAAGGTCAAGAGTGAGAGATATGGACACATGTTAGTGAAGCAAGGA